CCCTTCCTCGAGGCGGTGTCCCACCTGCCGCCCTTTTTCGGTGAGCTGGGGTGAAGGGGGGGAGCTGGCACGGGGCCGTGCCTCGAGCGCTTCCACACACACCCGCATCCTCCTCCTCCCGAGCATCCCCAAACCGTACCTCCCCTAGACACCACAAGTCTTACTTTCCCATGCACCCGAGATCCCCTTTTCCTCCAAGCACCCCCAATTTTCCCTATCTCGGACCACTCCCAAATCCTCTCTCCCCCGAACATGTCACATCCTTCATCTCTTCCCAGACACCCCCAAATCCTCTATCTCCCCTAGACATTCCCAAACCTGTCTCTCCAGACCCCTCAGGTTCCAGCATATCCTTCAGATGCCCCCACTCCCTGTGTGCCCCAATCGTCCGTCTCCTGACAAACACCCCTTACTCTTTCAAATCCCAGTTCTCCTAACCTCCATCGCATAGAAAGCGTCCTACCCCCTCGCCCCCTACCAAGCCCTTTATCCCCTACCCCATCACCGCTTTCAGAGTGGCCCTCAACTCCTTTCCCCTAAAAATGAACCGACCCTCATTTCATAAACCTCCTATTTTCTGTAAATTCTCCCAGCCTCTCCCTCATGGGACCTAGTGAACCCTTCTTTCCTCAGAGTCCCCCCATTCCAGATCAAAGATATCCCCCTGCCTCCCCGCCCCTCCAAGGGCAGGAAGCCTGGCAAGGTGAGGAGGGGGCTTTTGGAGATGGAGTCACAAAACTCTGGGGCCCCTCCCTAGGGAGAATCACCTAAAATTTTCCCTCATTTAGAACAGGGGTCAGGACCAGGGGAGTTGCTTTGTTGGGTGACATCAGATACTGGGTGCTTGGCAAAAGAAGACCCCTCCCTGATCTGGCATGCCCTAGGAGGTCACAGGAGAAATGGAAGGCGGCCTTAAACCAGTTGCAGACCCTCCTTTCTCCCCTCCCTCAACCCAGCCCACACCCTAGATAGAAAATGGGAAATGAAAGGCACCACCATTGGCCCCTGCCCTTTGCCTTTCTGGTCCTAAGTAAAGGATGCAACCTGAGCTCTGCTTTCTTCTCTCCCCTGTCAGCTTGTCCAGAGGCCAGCCCTGCTGGTTCACTTGGTGGTCTTGTAGGAAGAGACCAGTCCCCAGGGCAGAGTCCAGCTGACAGCTGTGAACTGACAGAACCTTGACACTGACCTGGACGGAATGGATGTGGCACCCGGGGCAGTCACTCCCTTTACCCCCTAGTGGGTGATCGGGGCTCTCTGTGGGGGCCGATGCTTCTGCACTGGTGGGGGTTCTGGGGTGGTTGAAGCTACGTGAGGTCGTATCCCCCACTCTCCTTCTCTCCCTCTTGAGCCTCAGCATCCCCATCTGAGAAATGGGCATGCTGATTTCCTAGACCAGCTGCGAGGAGTCAGTGAGGTGGTGTGTGTACAGTTCTGAGGTCTTAAGTGCCACACAGATCTTAGCTGTTGGGAGACTGGTTGTTACACAAGTTCCTGGATGCAGTTTTTAGTTCCTTCTTAGAGTAGATGATTGATTAATCAGTGTTTGAGTGAGTGCCATTGACTGGTTTGTATGATTCTCAGACTTGGGTCTTTTACGCCCACTTCTGCATCACTGGTACCCAGAACCATGGCCGGCGCACAGTAGGTGCTCAGCAGTACTTGTTAAATGTACAGAACATTCTTATTGTCAGTATTGCAGCGTGGAGATGACATCAAATGTCCAGGCAGGGGCTTGGGAGCTAACTGGTTTTCGCATTGAGGAATTGTTTATTTTGGTGACAGTGCCTCCGCACTCCCACCTTTGGTTCTATGAACATTCGCAGAACAGAGCCAACTTGCCCTGAACAACGATTCAGAATGTGTTGAAGCTAGTTCTTCTCAACTGAGGGCAGTTTCGCCGCCTCAGGGGACATCTGGCAATATCTAGGGGCATTGTTGGTTGTCACAACCTGGTGGTGGGGGGCACAGGGAGTTGCTACTGGCAGCTACAGGGTAGAGGCCAGGGATACTGTAAAACATCCTCTAGTGCCCAGGACAGCTCCTGCCCCGAATGTTAGCGGGGCCGAGGTGGAGGAGCCCCGAGTGAAGCTCTGTGGTCTTTTCCTCCCTCAGTGTCAGCAAGATTGCCCGTCTGTTCTGCCTTTGGGGACACCTTCCTTTGATGTGATTATCTGGCTGGTTTTAGAGGAAAAGGGATGGTGGCAGCTGGAGCCAGCAGTGATCTGGTGCAGGGGGCGGATGAGCGTTCCCTCCCGCTCTCCCTGAGCTCAAAAGACCCTTGTCTTTGCTGCAAGCCGTGTGCTGTGGGGCATTGCATCTGTTGACAGAAGCGCCCTTTATGCAGAAGCCTCAGTGGGTTGGCTCACAGAGGACCATTCTTAGCACTCTTTAAAAAAACGTGATAATCCATGTTGAACCATTAGGCTCTTCTTGGGGGAGGGTTCCTCCCCAGGATTGAAGTTTGAGGAGGATCCCCCCACCAGTGGCTTTCCTCCGGTACTTAGGGGTCGAGCTCTAATACAGGGGCTTCGTCTAGATCTTGGGAGTGTCTGATCCCTTGGATGATCTGGTTGGCATGTGTGTCTCTGGAATGGAGCAGGCCTGGGACACAAGAAACCCGAAAGGCACTGCCCTGCCAGTTTCCTCCAAATCAGGGTCTCTTCACCGTGGCACCGCTGACATTGGGGCTGAGCCATTCTTCTCAGTGGGGGCTGTGCCCTGCCTTGGAAAACGTTTACCAGCATCCCTGGCCTCTCTCTACTCGATGCCAGTAGCCCCCTGCCCCCTTCCCAAGTCACAACAACCAAAAATACCCACAGGGAGACAGAATCGCCCCTAGTTGAGAACTCCTGCTCTTGGCATAAATATGGCAGAGGGCTGAAAGCTGTGATTTTGAAAAGTATTTAATTCTGTAAGGAAGATCTGTTTCTCCAAGGAAAACTGAGCAAGAAGAAATTATATGTTTAAAAAAAAAACTACCTGCCATTTATTGAGCATTTACTATGTGCTCAGTGCCCTGTGTAGATTAGTCCCTTAATTCTCTCTTAGCCTTTTGAGGCAGAGTTGTTTTTGTTGTTGTTGCTGCTGTTATTTTAAGAGAGAATCAATGCTGACATTTCTGAGTATCTTCCTCTCAGACTCATTTATATCTTTATCTACCTTTAAGGGAAAACTGGGGGAGGGTATAGCTCAGTGGTGGGGTGCATGCTTAGCAGGCACGAGGTCCTGGGTTCAATCCCCAGTACCTCCGTTAAAAAAATATGTAACTTTAAGGGAAAATGTACAAGCTGCTTGTTTTCACCCAAAAATATAGCATAACCGCCTTTCCATGTCTATCATCATTTTTCATGGCTACTTAGAATTTTGTTGTTTGAATGTGGCCATAGTTTAATTTAACCAATCCTCTGCTTTTGGATGCTTACATTGCTTCTTGGTTTTTGGCTCTAGTAAACCATGCTACACTGACCATTCTCATATATATTTCTTTGCATACTTCTTTGGTTATTTCTGATTTTTAGAAAGGAAATTGCTGGGTGGAAGGAGGTGAAGGCTTTTCACCTGTTAGAACAACCATATTTCTTAAACCTTTGTCAAGTGTAGTTTGTGACAGAATTAGTTGGGCCTGATGAATGCCGATCCTTTGGGCTGCAGGGTAGATGTTGCTCAGAGCATCCACATCCTGGACCTGTTCTTCTTCCACATTCAGCCTGCATCTCCTGAGTTCTACCGGTTTTGCTCTGTCCACTTAGAGGTCAGCCCTTTGTCCATCTCTTTTCTCCTCCTTGACCCAGTAATCGGATCTCACGTCTGACCGATCAGTTTGCATCTGACTTCTGTGAGTCCCTGCTCGCCCATCTTTTATGTCAGTTATGCAGCTGTTCTAGAACATTAACAATTGGAGACGGAGGGAAGGGGAGGGGAGAGGGAGAGACTTAGTTATCATTTAGCCTTGTCACTCCCTGCGTAGAAGCCTCAGTGGCTCCCTATTACCCTGCCTTGAAATCTGTGGTGTAGCCTTTCTGAATGGCTTGCAGCCCCGCAGATGGTACCATGCCATCACTTGCCACTGGCACCTTACCTGTGTCAGTCTCTGCCTAGCTTACCACTCCTCTCCAGCCCACGGCCTTCCTGGCTGGATTTCACTTACCCTTAAAGCATCAGCCTAGGGGTCATCTTATCTAGAAAGTCTTTCCTGACACTTGGAGTTATTTCAGTGCCTAGCACTTGGTGAGCTAGTGATGTTTCTTGAGTGAATGCTTTTGGTTCCATTCCCATTTTTCTGGGTTCTTTCTAAAAGTGTTTTGCTTTCTTCTCTCTCCTCTCCTTCTAAATTAAAACACAGGTCCAAATTAAAATACATAACTCCCGCCCTGTACCCATGGCAGACATTAATAATCAATCTTGATACTGTTTTCCCCTTTGAGTCTAAACACAGCCTTGGCATTTTTCTTACCACAACCACTCCGGGTGCATTAGAATTGATGCATGAGATGATTGACGCCTATTTGCTCAGACTGTTTAGGGAGTAAGCAAAGATTCAGGAGCTGAAAGTGATGATTTCTACCCCTTGGTTCTTAAGATCCAGACACTGGGGGCGATTTTTCTCCATTCAGGCCTTTAAGCTTAATTAAATGAATGTCTGTAGAATCGAGCCTTACAAGTATCAGACACTCATTAAACAGTCTGAGAGTAACCCCAGAAACAGTGGTTCTTCCATTACTCTGGTTCATTGCTTGCTGTCTTTTCAGGGGGATGGGGAGGGGCACTGGCAGTGCAGAAGCCCAGAATTATCTTCTTGTTTTACAGCCAAAGAAACCAAGGCCAGAGAGGTTAGGTGACTTGCCCAGGGACACACAGCCAGTGAGGAACCACAGAGCCAGAGCAGAACTCAGGCCTCTGGGCTCTTTCTGCAGCGCTTGTGCCATTGTGTCTGCCCGGCTTCCTGTCTGGGCGAGGAGAAGACCCCCCCAGTGGAGCCAGCTCGCTCGGTCACTGAAGAAATCCAGTAGCTCAGCTGGCTCCACAGTGACTTATCCAAGA